TAATCTGGAGAACCGGGTTGATTCCCCACTCCTCCTCCACATGAAGCCAGCTGGGTGACCTTGGGCTAGTCACAGTCTTCTCAGAGCTCTCTCAGCCCCACCTGCCTCACAGGGTGTCTGTTGTGGGGAGGGGAAGGGAAAGGAGTTTGTAAGCCGCTCTGAGACTCCTTTGGGTAGTGAAAAGCAGGGTGTAAAAACTAACTCTTCTTCTTCATCGTGCACAGGGGTCGATTCGGGGGGATCGCGGGGGATCGCCGTTCCCCCGGGTGAGGTGCGGGGGGGGGGGCACATGACGAAGCCCCGCCCCCTGCTTCCGGTCGGGGTAAAATGGCGATTTGACGCACCCTGTAAGTGCTCAGGGTGGACGGGTGTTCCTTACAGCAGTTTGGACTGTATTTTGGTCCAATGCGGCTTCCCCCAGGCAGGGGGAATGACTGGCAGGCATCAAGACCCAAGAGAGAGTTGAGATTGGTGTGATCAAGTCTCGGAGGAGGCTTGTATTAAACTTTGATCCCCTCTCCCAAAGCGGGCGAGCGCATTCAGGGGGTGTGGCCTTATGACACACTTCCGGTGATGTCAGGGGGTGTGGCATATGCTAATGAGTTATGCTAATGAGTTCCCCTAGCTCTTTTTCTACGAAACGACCCCTGATCGTGCACATTGATCTAATAATGGTTGGGATCTGTGGAGTTGCTTTAGGAGCACTCAGGGATTTGGCCACGCCGATTGGATTTCCCGACTTTCCGCTCCCCAGTCCGCATGCCATCTTGGCCTGTATCCTACCACTCTCCCCAGCAAAACTGGAAGCCTTCCTCCCGCACAAGGCGGCTTTGTTGAACACCAGCAGCTCCTCCTCTTGAAGAGTCACTTATTCCAGCCTTAAGCTGTTCAGCCCCTTTTCAGATGTGTTCCTGGCTTTGTCTGCAGCATGACAGGTGGCTGTTCAAGAGACACGAACTGTCTTTGGATGCACTGAATCAGATGTACGGTTCTGTGGGTTTTGCATGAACATAACAATCCTTGGCCACAACAGTGCAATAGGAAAACACTTTTGAGGGTATAGAAAATGTGATAAAAGTCCCGCAACATGGAGGACTGCTAATTTTAACTCCCTTTGCGTATGTAATTCCTTTACTGTGCTGATGGATTTTGTTATCCTCTTGGACTAGATGATGGTGTTGTTGTTTTGTTTAAAATAACATTTTATTGTATATCAAACATAGCATACAGAGTCAAGAGAATGTGACGATAGCAGATATCACAGTATACGAAACTGAGACATAGCAGGTGTAGAATAAACAAAGGAATGACTTACAGTTAAAAGAACAAGAAAAAACAAAAACCCTAAGCAATGTATTTGTGTTAATGTCACCATAGGTGCAGTTGTTCTGTCTCACTCGGAATTTCACCTTGTTCTGTTAAATAATCAACAGTCGGGGGCCGAGTTGCAGCAGAGTTAGAAAGAGGAGTGCCGGAGGAGAGATGAGAAATATTAACAGTCATTTTAGCCATAATGTAAAAGTCCCAAAGCTTCCTGTGCCAGAGAGATAAGTTTGGAGGAAGCGTCCTTTCCCAGCAAGTTGCAATTGCTGTTTGAGCAGCTGAGAGTAGAATGGGAATGATTCTCCTTTTGGGATGTGCGTGTTGAATGAGATTCCAACCATTCTAAATGAGACTGACCGGAGAAGGATGGATTTTGAGACCAGTAATGGATTCTATACGTGTTGGAACTATATCCCAGAAATCCTTAGACTAGATTATGTTTTGACATTTGTTCCTTGCGTCAGAGCTGGAGATCAAAACCCCTACTATACTTAATTCACCTTAACACGTGAAGCTGCCTTATACTGAATGAGACCCTTGGTCCATCGAGTTTAGAATGTCAGCTTGGACTGGCAGTGGCTCTTCAGGACGTCAGGCAGAGGAAGGTCTTTCAGATCACCTATTTATTTGTCTGTCTGTTTTACAGAATTTATATCCTGCCTTTCTGCCCTCACAAGGGCCACCAAGACAGCTAACAAATTAAAACATATGTAATAAAATCACATCTTTAAAACCAACAAATGCCCACATCATTAAAACAATTAAAAGCAGAGCTAAAATATTTTATTCATTTAAAACTTCTTATTTATTATGGAGCTCAAGGCTGCTTACAAACATGGATAGGTAAAGGTAAAGGTTTCCCTAGCTTGAAAGCTGGTCGAATCCGACTCTGGAGATGCAGTGCTCATCTCCGTTTCCAAGCCAAAGAGCCAGTGCTGTCCAAAGACATTTCCGTGGTCATGTGGCCGGCATGACTAGACGCCAAGGCGCACAGAACGCTGTTCCCTTCCCACCAAAGTGGTACCTATTATCTACTTGCAGTTTCTTGCTTTCGAACTGCTAGGTTGGCAGGAGCTGGGACCAGAGACGGGAGCTCACTCAGTCATGCAGCACTCGGGTCTCGAACTGCTGAACTACAGACCTTCCGGTCTGCAGTTCAGCATCTTAACCATTTGAGCCACTGCAGCCCATAGCGCAAACATGGATAAAACACATCAAATAATACACGTTAAAAATATAAAATCGAAATTAAAAATCACTACTCAGGACTGCTACTGAACTTAACCAAATGCAGTCTAAATAAAACCACCTTCAACTGCCTCCTTGATATAAAAAGGCCAGGCTCATCTCCCTGGAGAGGTCGTTCCGTAAGCATGGGTCTGCCACTGAAAAGGCCCTCTCTCCTGTACCCACCAAATGATCTTCTTTGATTGATGTGACAGAGTAGATGGCCTCTCCCTATGATATAAATTTCTGGGCAGGAACATATGGGGGGGGAGAGAGACGGTCCTTCAGATAACCTGGTCCCAAGCTGTGAACCTACATTACAAAAACATAAATACAATTAAAACACCCAGTCCTTAACTGGAGATACCAGGGATTGAACCTGAGACCTCCTGCATGCCAAGCAGATGCTCTGCCACTAAGCCACAACTTATTCCCCAGGTCCATCAAGGTCACACAGGCAGTATTTCGCCAGGTTTTCAAGTAGAGACCTTTCACATTGCAAAAACTGCACTGGAGTCAGGTGCTAGTGAAGTAATAAATTTCAGATGCGGGTAGAAATACATGCACCCAGGTCATTTCTTGCACAAGACATCTACCAGAGCATACCTTTTTTTCCCCCTTGAGAATAGCAAATACTCTTAAGACCTTAATGTCCAAGCTGTAATGGTTTTTCTTTTCCAAGCTCAAGCAAAGACAGATGAAGCCTTGCTTAGCTCTCTGCAAGACCTCTTGGCTCACTCCATAACGTTTTTTAAAAAAATTACTGCTTTTGGGGATGGAGGGGATAAATTAGAGGTACAAATAAGCAACGCAATGTAAGATACAAAAAAAAAATAAGCATCAAGGTGTGCTTGGGTTGTCCCTTTAGGAGAAAAAAACCCGGAAACCTTCTTACAAAGACAGTATTGCACACATCAGAATTGTATCAAAAAAGAACACTCATTTGCAAAGAAAAGACAGAAAGATAGACACGGTCTGATTAATCAGTCCTCCATGGTAAGCCACAGGGGCACTGTTGGCTCTGCCTTCTGCAGACATTTGGCAGTGTTTGATTTGTGGGAGTACGATATGATTTTGCAGATAAAGTAGAGAATGAGTCTCCATATGCATACAGTTTAATTGGGGTAACGGCTGCGTGTGGGCACCCATTTCCAGATGCTTTTCAGCACAGCCGTCACAAGTCAGGTAGGATGCACACTGTGTCGTTACAAATCATTGTTCGCCTCCTGCATTTCCCTACATAAAATTAAGCGGATGGTTTTTAATAGGGCAATATAGCCAGCGCACGGATCCCGTCTCAGCAGTGTTAAGGGAGCCTGTTACGGGCGCTAGCAGGCAGGCAGCGTAGCACGTGCATCTACAAAACCTTGGCTGACAACAATTACCACAATTATCCTAAATGCCACCCTTCCCACCTCGCCCTGGAAACTGCTGTAACGGAAGAGGGATTGGTGTTTCCCCTGGCTGTGACCCCCTTTTCATTTGGGGTCAGGGAGCAATTTTTCTCCAGGTTAGTTTGGCTGGAGATCCTGGAGGTTTTTTCTGTCATCTTCTGGGCATGGAACAACAGTCACTGGGGGTGTGGAGGGGGGGGAGGTATTTGTGCAATTTCCTGCATTGTGCAGGGGGTTGGACTAGATGACCCTCGAGGTACCTTCCAATTATATGATTCTAAGATTATATGAGAGCCCTGATAGTTCAGGTGGCTCAAGTGGTTAAGACGCTGAACTGCAGGCTCTGGAAGGTCAGTAGTTCAGCAGTACGAGACCCGAGTTGCCGCATGACAAAGTGAGCTCCCGTCTCTAGTTCCAGCTCCTGCCAACCTAGCCGTTCGAAAGCAAGAAATTGCAAGTAGATAAATAGGTACCGCTCCAGTGGGAAGGTAACAGCGTTCCATGCGCCTTGGTGTTTAGTCATGCCGGCCACATGACCACAGAAATGTCTTCGGACAGCGCTGGCTCTACGGCTTTGAAACGGAGATGAGCACCGCAACCCTAGAGTCGGACTCGACTGGCTTTCGAGCAAGGGAACCTTTACCTTTACCTTTTACTGATAGTTCAGGTGTTTTAGCCATGGCATGACATAAATGTGTTTCTGCCATGACTCCGTTGGTGGTTGTCTGAAAAGTTCCTTGCCTCTCCACATTCTTTTCTTTAAAGTTAAAGCGTGGGCAACGAGTGGTTGAAACCCAAGTATATTAGAGCTCTACTTAAACTTGTATATTATTAGCTATAACTTGCCCTTCTGTAGGCTTAAAAGGGCTCTTGAGATTGCATAGGGGGAGTGTTCTGCCTGTTGTAACAAAAGGTGCCTTGGTTCAGCAAAATACAACAGAAGCCGTTGGTAAACAGAAAAGGCAATTCACTTGTGACCTGGCACAGCTCCTCTTCTGAGGATAATGTAAGGAGTGGCTTGTTTTTTTAAAATTCCTGTTTTCTTTTGTGCTGCAGGCAGGAATGTGTAGCCACAGAAGAGAGCCCACAAGTGTTTTTCTGCTGCTGCGAAGGGAACTACTGCAACGAAAAGTTCACTCACTTACCTGAAGTTTCAGGTCCGGAAGGTGAGGCTCGTGTTTGTCAAGAACAAAAGCTTCCGTGTTCTGCTAACCTTGAATTTCCTAGACAGGCAGTCAGAGTACAGAAAGCGTAATTAGAACAGTGACATTCTTCAGGTCCTGAAGTTGAGAAGTTCTGCAAAGTTAGGTTGGTTGGTTTGCTTGTTTGCTTCAGAACACAGCTAGATTTTCCTTTTCTCTCCCCTACTAGTCCAAGTAAAGCGATTGCACGGGAGGATTGCTAGGCCTAGAAGTGAGAGAAATAAATTCATTTTCCTCCTCGAATGCTTGGGGTGGATCACTGCAGACAGAATGTTTGTGGGAGGAGAATAACACAGTCTGCTTTCTGCAGATTGAGCTAAATATCTCAATTAGCTGGTATCAAAATGCCAATTGGCACGGAGGGAGGGGGAAGCACAACTGCAGCGAGGCATTTCGGCATCATTAGTAAAGGGGTGAGCGTCTAGTTCACTGACAACTTGGTGAGTCTGAGGTGTTCCTCGCAAAGTATGTGATTCCGATTGCTTCATATTCCTAAATTTTAGGCATAGGTCCCCCTTTTTACAGTAAAGCCATTCTGTGGCAGTCCCTTACAGCCTGTTTGGTGTAGTGGTTAGGAGCGCGGACTCTAATCTGGGAGAACCGGGTTTGATTCCCCACTCCTCCACATGCAGCTGCTGGTGAGACCCTGGGTCAGTTACAAGTTGTTTCAGAGCTGTGCTCGAGAGAGCTCTCTCATCCCCACCTGCCTCACAGGGTGTATGTTGTGGGGAGGGGAAGGGAAAGGAGATTGTAAGCTGCTCTGAGACTCCTTTGAGTAGTGGAGGGTGGGGTATAAATCCAATCTCCTCCTCACAAAATCAGCAAGATCATTGACAGGAGAGATCCAAAGTCTCAGATTTGTCTTGTCCCTTGCCAAGACTTCTCAGAAAGCTTAACAGACCTCTGAGCATCAGTTCAGATCAAGGACTTTTTTCCCCATGGGACTGGCCCTCTTCAAGGGACATGGAATATAAGGTTCGGAATATAAGGTTCTGCTGAGCCTGGGTGTTCAGGGACTGGTTGTCAGCAGGCCAGGGGTCAAAATCCAAACCAAGCTGGCCTCTGCCACTTGATGTCAATATGGTGCAGGTGAAACAGAAGGACTTAACTTGTTTTGACGGTGCATGCTCCCAACTTGTTTAAACTGGGCCCTCAGCCGCCGTGCATGCAGTGTTAGCATTCGAGAGGCCCATAGTCCCAAGTGGGTGGCACACTGGTGTGCTAACACTGTGGCACCCAGCCATTTTGCATGCACATGCATCAGCCCCATTTAAATGAAAGGAAAAAAAGGGAAACAGTGCAAAAGCTGTATACAAAATAACCCGCTGTGTATAAAGGCTTACACAAATTCGTTAAACAGTAATCATCAATAGAGTATAATATATTAAAATACGTGTTTATTACAATTATATATTAATCCAAAATTGAAGGATACATACTTTCCACAATATATGAATCAAAACCAACTATATATCAAGAAACAATCTTATGAACTCTATTATCCAAAATTCACAATAATTCAGCTCATCAATGCTCACACGCAAATTGTAACATTAATCTCAATGTCTAACAGCCAACAATTGGTATAGAAAATTATATAAACGCTTGTGCCAGCTGTGTAAGGCTTCTAAAATTATAATACAAATCAGCTGTAACATTCTCGGCTATGGGGAAAGGTGCCTGAAGTTCCTCCTTTTGGCTGAAGCCTTTCTCACAAGCCAAAGATTTCTTCCAAAGTCCAAAAACTCCAAAACGGCACACGAGTTGGCAAAAAAGCTTGTCCAGTTTTCACAGCATGCATAATGCCATTAATAGTAGTTCCATAGGACGCAGTCCTTCAATATTTAAACCTCTGGCATTCCAACGTATATTGTGGAAAGCAGGGCTCATTAGCATATTAGGCCACACCCTTGACAGCACAGCTCATTAGCATATTAGGCCACTCCCCATGTTACCGGAAGTGTGGTCATCTAGCCACACCCACCTTTTGCTTCTTATTCTGTTTACCTTGTTCGTTGTCAAAACTCAGGGCTTTTTTTGGAGCAGGAACTCCTTTGCATGTTAGGCCACACACCCTTAATGCATCCAATTCTAATGAGTTTCTGCTGTTGGGTGTGGCCTATTATGCTAATGAGTTCCTGCTGGGTGTGGCCAACTTGGGAGCCAGCTGGAACTCCGTTCCTGTGCGTTCCTGCCCAAAAATAGCCCTGGTGGAAAGTACATATCCTTGAATTTTGGATTGATATATAATTGTAATAAACAACACGTATTTTAATATATTAATTATTATTGATTATTACTGTTTTAACACATTTGTTGTAAGCCTTTATACACAGTGGGTTCTTTTGTATACCGTTTAAATGAGAGGCTAAGTGCACGCAAGCTGCGTGTGAGCCAATCTGGTGTCGTGGTTAAGTGAGCGGACTCGTAATCTGGGAGAACCGGCTTTGATTCCCCACTTCTCCACATGCACCTGCTAGATGACCTTGGGCAAGCTGTAGTTTTGGCACAGCTGTTCTCGAAAGAGCAGTCCTCGAAAGGGCTCTCTCAGCCCCACCTAACTCACCGAGTGTCTGTTGTGGGGAGGGGGAGGGGAAGGGAAAGGAGATTGTAAGCTGCTCTGAGACTCCTTTGGGTAGTGAAGGGTGAGGTATAAATCCAATCTCCTCCTCCTCTTCTTCTCCTCTTCCTCCTCCTAAAATGCCGACAACAAGGAACGAGCGTTGACGATAGCTGTTGTTTTTCACAAATATATGCAGATTTTATGAACTGCATGTAGGTAAAACTACCAACATCCACTGTTATTCCTTCTACCCTGTGGTATGTTTTCAGGGTGTGGTTGGGAGGGGGCTGTGGGTACGTGGTTTGGAGCATACGTTTTGCATGCAGAAGGTGCCAGGTTCAGTTCTTTAAATGATTGCAGGTAGCAGCCACAGTTGAGTCAAAATAGACAGTACAGCATTAGATGGCTTGACACAGAAGGAGGCAGCTTCACAGGGGCTTGGCCAGAAATTTTTGGTTGGTGGGGCATGGGGAAAACTGGGGGGGGGGCACCCCGGCCGCACTTTCTGCTCCTCTTGCAGCAGTAGCAGAAGCTCCGGCTCTCCTCCGACCTCCAGTCCTCTAGTCCTTCTGATTGGAGAGACTCGATTCTGGGCTACTTTTCTGCGTAAGCGGGGGGGGGGGAGAGAGAACCTCTGACTCTCTCTATTTTGCAATTTTATTTTTCTTTTTGCAATTTTATCTTGTTTTATTGCATTGCATTTTTAAAAACCAACTCCTTTTTCAGCCTGGGGGAAAAAAAGAGACCGAAGCTTCCCTGACTCTGCCTGGGTTCACTTTGGAACACCCACATGCATCTTATATATTTTTTAAAAAAATGATTTTTAATTTTTTTCCCTGGATTAAAAAAAAATCTGAAGGGGCAGCACCCACCTGTGGGGGGCATTGCCCCCAAATGCCCCCTCCTTGCTACGGGCCTGCAGCTTCATAGGATTAGGTGTGTTCTAAGTGGAGAACAAGTTGGTGATCATTACATTCAATCCAACCTTGCTGTATGATAGAATCCTGCATTCTTCAGAAGCACCTTTGTTTCTGATCACCAGATGCTGGAAACACATGAACACACATGAAACTGCCTTATACTGAATCAGGCCCTTGGTCCATCAAAGTCAGTATTGTCTACTCAGACTGACAGCGGCTTTCCAGGGTCTCAGGAAGAGGTCGTTCATGAGACCTACTACCTGCCTTTTAACTGGAGATGCTGGGGGTTGAACCTGGGACTTTCTGCATGCCAAGCAGATGCTCTACCAATAACCCACAGGGAGACTTCTGTCTGGTCCTCCACTATGCTCTTAGTCAAAGATGGTCTAAATCAGCAAGGAAGTGAGTACCTCTTAGCCATTTTTACTGTTGCTTCTCCTTTCAGTGGTGTATGAACCACCGCCACCAACCCCATCGCTGCTCAACATTATGGTTTACTCTCTGCTTCCAATCATTGCCCTTTCCATCGCCATTCTGCTGGCCTTCTGGATGTATCGTCACCGCAAGCCCCCGTACGGTCACGTCGACATCAGTGAGGTATGTGAGAGGTGAAGGGAATACATAAAATAATATCGCGACCCCACAGCCGTCCTGCCCACAGGCCTTGCATTTTGAGAGCCATGGGGCCAAGTAAGAGTCGACACACACAAATATGGATAATAAAAACCACATCTTAAAAACCATTAAAACCAACACAAACATCATCAAAACAATAAAAACCAGAGCTGAAATACATACAAAAACATACAAACAACAATTAAAACATTGGGCAAGGAGGCGAGACCACGGAGGGAAAATCCAATGAAATAAACATTCTTCAGCTGCTGGTGGAAGACGGCAACAGAAGGGGGTTGATGAATCTCCCTGGGGAGGGAGTTCCAAAATGTGGGTGCCACAACTAAGAAGGCCCTGTCCTGTGTTGCCACCGACCTAATCTCAGAAAGCAGGGCTCCTGATGCAGAGCCTCGGAAGATGGCCGTGGTAGTCGGGTAGCGTAAGGGAGGTTTATGAAATAAGGAAGGTTTATGAAGCAGAGGTTTATAAAATTACGCATGGGGTGAAGAGGGTTGACAAAAGAGAAATCTTTCTTCTTCTCCCGAAGTACTAGAACTTGTGGGCACCCAGTGAAGCCGATGGGCAGAAGGTTCAGAGCAGACAAAAGGAAATACGTCTTCACACAGAGAGTAATCTGCTGCCCGGAGGATGTTGTGATTTCCACAGGAATAAACAGCTGTAAAAGGGGATTAATGGCCATCAGCCATGGTGACTGATGGGAACCTCCACCTTCAGAGGCACTAAGCCTCTGAATCCCAGAGCCAGGAGGCCACATCAGGGGAAGGCCTCGGCCTCTCTGCCCTCTTGTTGGCCCTCCAGGGGGACTGGCTGGCCCCTGTGTGAGACGGGAGGCTGGACTAGATGGACCCTCCCTGGTCTGATCCAGCAGGGCTCATCTTGTGTTCTTATGAGGGGAAGGCCTCGGCCTCTCTGCCCTCTTGTTGGCCCTCCAGGGGGACTGGCTGGCCCCTGTGTGAGACGGGAGGCTGGACTAGATGGACCCTCCCTGGTCTGATCCAGCAGGGCTCATCTTGTGTTCTTATGAGGGGAAGGCCTCGGCCTCTCTGCCCTCTTGTTGGCCCTCCAGGGGGACTGGCTGGCCCCTGTGTGAGACGGGAGGCTGGACTAGATGGACCCTCCCTGGTCTGATCCAGCAGGGCTCATCTTGTGTTCTTATGAGGGGAAGGCCTCGGCCTCTCTGCCCTCTTGTTGGCCCTCCAGGGGGACTGGCTGGCCCCTGTGTGAGACGGGAGGCTGGACTAGATGGACCCTCCCTGGTCTGATCCAGCAGGGCTCATCTTGTGTTCTTATGAGGGGAAGGCCTCGGCCTCTCTGCCCTCTTGTTGGCCCTCCAGGGGGACTGGCTGGCCCCTGTGTGAGACGGGAGGCTGGACTAGATGGACCCTCCCTGGTCTGATCCAGCAGGGATCTTCTTGTGTTCTTAATAAAAATAAAGGAATTAAAACTAGCGGCAAGATAAATTGTCAGCAAAGGTCTTTAAAACTTTGAGCTTTGTTTTTTAAATTTTATTTTATTTTATTCGACTTATATCCCACCCTCCCCGCATGGAAAGCTCAGGGCGAGTTACATCAGATTTGATAAAAATACAATATACAGTTAGTACAGTTAAAACACTAGTAAATACCACAATGGCCTTCATCCGGTGCTGTTGTGTATTGATCAACCTGACTGATGCACCCACTCTTCCACAATGGATTGTCTACAAATGTGACTCTAAGCATGACCTTCTCTTACGGCAGCCAACTCCAGCCTAGGAAATGCCTTAAGATTTTGGAAGTGGGGCCTAGGGAGGGAAGACCTCGGCCTTTCTGCCCTGTTGTTGGCCCTCCAGAGGAACTGGTTGGCC